ACACACACACACACACACACACACACACACACACACACACCCCTATTGGGATGATCAACTGTTTCTTGGAGATCCTCATGGAGTAGAGTAAGTTTGAATAGTGATGAGATGTAAACCAGATTGTGAGGGATTTGTAACTGGGTATTTGGGATGTGAAGTTACTAAGTGCACACGGTTTTTTTTTTTTTTTTTTTTTTTTTTTTTTTTAGACATAAAGAGGAAATTAGAAGATACTTGTATAAAAGAATATTGAGGATAATTAAAGAATTTGTCAAGTTTGTAAGATTTGAGCTTTGTTCAGAGAATATTTAGGGCAGTGTATTTTTTCAAGTATGGTCCATTGAACACCTGTGTCAGCTCCTTTGGAATGTCTTCAAAATACAGATTCCTGGCCCTCACTACCTACCCAATCCCAGAGGGTAGGGTCCAGGAATCAGTGTTTTAAACAGTCATGCCTAAATGAATTTTATGTACACTGTAGTTTGATAGTAACTCTTTTAATGGAAGATTTTAAAAAGGAAGCAATTGTTTGTGAACATATTTTGGAAACTGCTAGAGGATATTAATTAGTTTACTGTCTCGTTTCTCTATTTTAAAAACTTGACTTTAGGAAAAAATGAAACTAGATATATTTTTATTTTGGCTACGTCTTTACATTTTTATAAATTTTATTTATAAATAATTTTTCTCGGCCATGAATTTTAAACAATACAGAAGTGTTAGGCAAAAATTAAAAATTTTTTCCGGTTGTCATTTTGTACCCCAGAGGATGCACAGCTAGCAGTTTGGCGTGTATCCTTCTAGAGTTTTTTATGCGTGTAGCAATGCATAAGACCCCATTGTCATCCTCAGCCAGCACTCATGGGTTACTCCTATGTATATTGTGCTATTACTTGCTTTCTTATCACCACTAATGCAGGGGCATTTCTGGGACACCCTGGGGAAGAGTTCTGTGTCCTTTAAACATGTTAATGGAAGACTTTCTTCCCAGTAAAAAAAGTCCTCATGTATGGAGTGGTTCTTACAGGATGTACTTGGTTCTCTAGGATTGCTTATTGATGACAAACTAGTCATCTATACATTCTAAGGTGTAGAAAATGTCATATAAGCTGTGTAACTTTCTGCACATAAAATGGGGATGTTTCATAACCAAATTAACTCCTTCTGTGTAAGTGGTGTGATCACACATGTTGTTTGAGCAGGACTTCTCTTGGGGGAAAGGAGGGACCTCAGAAGTTTTGGATTCTCTCTGACTTACCTGTGCCTTGGGATTACTTGTTTTCTTGAACGTTTTATTAAAGTTCAACACTCTGAGCTTTGTGAGTCTGAAATACAATCCAAACCTTTGCGATTTCTCAATAAATATTAAGGTTATTTTTTATTTCCTTGTATTTGAAGTTAAGTTACTGGCTTTGATTTGCTTTTGCTCTAGCAATTTAGAATACTTGAATGTGAATTCTATATCAAAGGGTGTAGAATATGGTTGTCATTTAATGTTATCTGAATGAAAGGATATGCCCTATTTTCTCAGAAAACATATTCAGTTAATCAGGAGTTATCCTCTTGCTTTTTTCTCCTTCAAAATAAAAATGGCTTTATTATTTAATTTCTTTCTGATCATTAAAGGTGATATAAAAAAATAAAAAGATATAGGAAATTCATACTTTCCTAAATCCTGCAGTGTATTCAAAGATAAACTATTAATTTTTCAGAAATCTCTGTTGTTTGTATAAACAATATATGTAGTTATGCATATACACATATCCGTGTGTAAGTATATGGGCACAGTTCTCTCTAAATGCTTTCATACTGCATATGTTGCTCAGGAACATTTTTCACTTGAAAGGACATCGTAGACCTTTTACTAATCAATAAATACACCTTTCTCTGATTTTATGAATATTATGCAGTTACCTAGTCATGCATAGTTAAGTTTCTTGAAAAGTTTTAATAGCACATTAGCACTGGATGCTCACATAAAAAGAAGTAAAGGAATAGCTACCAAGCACCTGGGATTTCTTCATTTCCTGTAGTGGCATATAAACATATCTGTGAATTTCTTGATATTTAATCCAAAGAGAAAAGATCATCTAAAGAGCTCTCATATCAGAAAATATGAACTTTTTAAAATTGTGGTATGCATACTTAACATGAGATCTACCCTCTTAACAAATTTTTAAATGTATAATATGGTATTGTTAACTATGGACATTGTTATACAGAAGATCTCTAAAACAGATTCATCTTGTAAAGCTATAACTTTATACCCGCTGAATAGCAGTTCCTCATTTCTCCTTCCCACCATTCTACTCTCTGTTTCTGAGTTTAACTATTTTAGATATGTCATGTGAGTGGAATCATGCATTATTTATTCTTCTGTGCCTGGCTTATTTCACTTAGCATGTCTTCTAAATTAATCATATTGTCACATGACAAAATATCCTTCTTCTCAAAGGCTGAATGGTATTTCATCGTATGATATTCAATGATATTTCATTTCATTTTCTTGATCAATGCATCAGTCAATGGACATTTTGGTTGTTTCTGTATCTTGGCTGTTGTGGGTAGTGCTGCAATGAACATGGGAGTGTAAATCTTTTTGAGATCCTGATTTTAGTTCTTTTGGATATATGCTCAGAAGTGGGATTGTTAGGTCATATGGTAGTTCTGTTTTTAATTTTTTGAGGTGACTCCATACTGTTTTTCATCACTGCTGTACTGTTTTACATTTTAAACAATTACTAATTTTTATAATCAGTGAATTCCTATAAACAGAATATTATATGTCAGAAAAGAAAAATTTACATAGCAAATACCTTTATATTTAGATTTTTCTGTTTAAGTGTTCTGCCTACTTAATGTTCACCCATATTTTTGACGTTGACTGTAGTGTAAATATTACTTTTAGTGTAGGTTTGTCAGTTTTCCATTGTACATTTTGTTTTGAAGTGTCATAGAGAAATAAAGGGGCTTTCCTGTTATGACTGAGTAAAACTTCTTTGAGCTTATGGGGAATTGTCCAGTGTTAACATTTTATAATTATATATAATTCATATTGTTCCAGGAATATTTAAATATTCAGGTTTATTCAAAACTTGCATTTTATGAAACAAGATACACTTAAAATAGGTTAACATTTCTCTGTTAAGAGCACTTTTCCAAAGTGCCATTCAGTAAAAAGTTAGATAGGGACCTGACATTACAAATCTTCCCCCAGCTTCCTTGGCCCTTGTTATTCCTCTTTCCTGCTCTATTTTTCGCTAAATTATTTATCACCATCTCCATTTCATGATACATTTTTCTTTCTTTTCTTTTTTCTTTTCTTTCTCTCCTTTCTTCCTTCACTTTCTTTCTCTTCTTCTGTCTTTTTCTTTCTCTCACTTTCTTTTCTTTCCCCTTTTTCCTTCTTTTGTAGTTTATGTCTCTTTGCTCCCCTGTCATATAGGCTCTGTGAGGTCAGGGATTTTAATTTATTTTGTTCACTGCTGTTATCCGGTGCTTAAAACAATACCTAACACAGAGTAGATTTCTGGTAAATATTTGTTGAATAAATGAATGTTGTTCTGCTTTAGTCTAGTAATAACGTTTTAGAATATCTATATCAACTGAGCTTTTCAGCTAATTTGCACATTGCTTTTTCAGTCTGTGTTTCACCAGCTGTTGAACAGCAATAAGTGTGGGATGATATCCCCTGATAAGAATATATAGTAGACTTTTATGTTTTGAATTTAGAGTAGAGCCATATGCCTTAAGACTTAGTTAGGCTAGAGGTTTTTGTTTTTAATCTAATGGAAAAATTAAAGAACATAAAACAGAGATATTGTAATCATCCCCTCAAGATAAGCCAGAATCTTCTCAGGAAATAATACTTCATAAACGGTTGAAATGAGGTTGCAAAACATAACTCTTATTATCCTGGAAATTCTTAAAGCAAACACAGCCAGAAGTAGCTCATTTCAGTCATTGAAAATGTCATACTAAAAGTACAAAAAATTAGCCAGGCGTGGTGGCACCTGCCTGTAATCCCAGGTACTTGGGAAGCTGAGGCAGGAGAATTGCTTGAACCTGGGAGGTGGAGATTGTGGCGAGCCAAGATCACCCCATTGCCCTCCAGCCTGGATAACAAGGGTGAAACTCCGTCTTAAAAAAAAGAATTTGTCACAAATGTACCCGTAGAGCATCTGACTTTAAATAGTGCAACTATCTGTGTAGTTACCAGGAAAAATTCATTGCAAAAAATATGACTAGGTAAACATGAATAACTTACCATATTTTGACAGTTGGGAATAATATAATTGAATTTTAAGAAATGTATCAGCTCTTGTGACTCAGTTGAGAGTAGTACATTTTATTATAAATTAAACAGACATTTGTAATGGAAACATTAAAATGTGTCAATGCAGTTTGACCATTCATACTAGTATTTATTTAATCTTTTGGGAAAAGCTGCAATGAAATGATTGAAAGTCATGACTGTGGAGTTAAGTGGCCTGTGTTCATGTCCCAATTCTGCCACATACTGGCTGGTTACCTTGGCTAGCTACCTTTAGCCTTGGTCTCTTCAACTTAATATTGGGGTAGTAATAGTAGCCTACTTAATAAGGATCTTTTGAGGATCAAATGAAACAATGCATGTGCCTGCCTCATAGTAATTACTCCAAAAGTTAGCTGTCAGTATTATTAATATTAACATTTAGTTGTTTACCTTGTTTAGAATTGTAGTCCCATTGGAGAGCAGCTTCATTCGGTGTTGGCCAATACTGGATACAAGCATATGATTGGACTACAACCCTCAGCTACCTTAGGAACCTTAGACAAGTCATCCTCCACACCTTTTCCTTTTAGAACTGGATTGACATCTGGGAACATGACTGAAAACTTACAAACTTACATTGAAAAAAGTACACAGCTACCTGGTGGAGAAAATTCTACAAAGCTTGATGAGTGTAAAATTGTGCCTCAAAACCATTCCCCTCTTGAAAATGATCTTAAAAATGCAATGTCTTGTTTCTTACCAAAGAAAGCAAGTGACAACTCAAATATACCTAACTCTGAGTTGCTGCCTTTTCTCCAGAATTTATGTAGTCAAGTTAACCATCTCCGTGTGGGAAATAAGACCGAATGTCGGGAAAACTTCACCAAGCATGGTGAACACATTCTTGGTGTTGGGTAAGTATTATTTTAAGGCATAAGAAGTTTCGATTTGGTAGGTGGGAGAATCAGATGAAAGGAAACAGATTTGTCTCAATGAGTACTGCCTAAAATTTGTTTCCAGAGATAATTTTAGCAGCTTTTACGTTTTACCACTAATATACTTAAAGGGGATAACTACAGAGTAGAATGGACTACTTTGAAAGAAGTCTCAATAACTGGAGGTTTTGCAGACTTCTCAGGCATTTTGTGGAAGGGTCGCAAGTATTAGCTCACAGTGGGAAATAGAAAGTGATTTGCATGAATGGAAAGGAGCTGTGGGAATCATCATCTTGATGTTGTTTTTAATGTGTTTGTACTGTTTTGTGCCTGGGTATGTTAAGCATGTCATTGGGACATTTTCCTTAAAGTTATGTTTGGTCTAGGAAAATTCCTGCATTATTAAAAAACTATATTAGGATAATGATTATTTGTAGTTTACAAGCTAGTATCCCCAACTTCTTAATCTCTTATTTTGGCAGTACATATTTGATTAAGATGTAGCTAAGTATTTAGTAGTATGTTCCTAATTGCTTAAGTAGATATAGTGTGTCAAATGGTATTCTAGACTGGAAATTCTGGAGTCTAGGTGTGGTTTTGGCTTAAACATGTTGCCACACTGCTTAATCTTTTTTAGCCTAAGAGATTTCATTTGAAAATGAAGTAGTTGGATTATTTTGTAACTAAACAGCACCAACAACCAACAGGATTGAGTTGACATTCATAGAGAACTGTACCAACAATAGCAGAATATACATTTTTTTTTTCAAGCATCTATGGAAGATTTGCAAAGATAGATTATATCTAGCAAACCTGACCAAATTCAAGAGGAATGAAATAAGACAATGTATGTTTTCTGACCAGAAATGAATCTAACTAGAAATCAATAAAAGACAACAGAATTTCCAGATACTTGGGAATTACACAGCACACTTAAATTTATGGTTCAAGAAAGTTTTGACAGATATTAAAAGTAATGGCCGGGCGCGGTGGCTTAAGCCTGTAATCCCAGCACTGTGGGAGGCCGAGGCGGGTGGATCACGAGGTCAAGAGATCAAGACCATCCTGGTCAACATGGTGAAACCCCGTCTCTACTAAAAATACAAAAATTCAGCTGGGCATGGTGGCGTGTGCCTGTAATCCCAACTACTCAGGAGGCTGAGGCAGGAGAATTGCCTGAACCCAGGAGGCGGAGGTTGCGGTGAGCCGAGATCGCGCCATTGCACTCCAGCCTGGGTAACAAGAGCGAAACTCCGTCTCAAAAAAAAAAAAAAAAAAAGTAATATACACAGACATGAATGAAAATACAACACATCAAAATTTGTGGGATGCAGCTAAAGAAGTGTTGATAAGTATTTATAGCACTAAATGATTACATTAGAAAAGGGGATTGTTCTCAAATTAATAGCATAAAACTACAACTCAACCAAAATAAAATAATCAGAATAGTTCTATAACCATTAAAAAGATTTAATGTATAATTTTAAAGCCAAGCAAACTGAGCTAAAAGCAAGCAGAAAGAAGGAAATAATAAAGAACAGAAATCAATGTAACTGAAAACAAGCAAATAAAATCCGTGAAGCCAAAAGCCAGTTCTTTGAAAATTTCAATAAAATTAATAAACTTCTAACAAGACTATCAAAAGATGAAAAGAAAGAAGTGTAAACATCAGTATCTGGAATGAACTGAGATGTCACTGCTGATCCTAAGGCCATTTAAGAGATAATAAGGGAGGGAGTATTACAAACAACTTTATGCTCAAAATTTGGCAACTTAGGAGAAATGGATTAATTTCCCCAAAACCACAAACTACCAAAATCAGCCAACATGAAATAAATAATAGAATAGTCCTATAACCACTAAAAATATTTAATTCATTATCGGAAAACTCATGAAAAAGAAATATCCATGCCCAGATGGCTCCACTGGAAATTTCTACTGAACATTTAAAGAACACCAATTTTACATGCTCCTAAAAACTAGAAGAGAAGGGAAGACTTTCCAACTCATTCTATGAAGTCAGTATTAACCTGACACCAAACTAGATTGCCCCCAAAACTAAAATACAGAAAAATACATATAAATATATGTAAAATATATAAATCTTTAAAAATAAAAGTTTATAAACTTAACAAAATATATGCAGGATATGTGAACTGAAAATCATAAACTACTGATGAAAGAAGACCTAAAAACTGGAGAGACATACCTTATTCATTGATTTAAAGGCATAACATAGTAAAAATGTCATCCTCTTCTAGTTGATATATAAATTTAATGCAATTCCTATGAAAAGTTGAGCATGATTTTTCATAAATGTAAATGAGATGATTCTAAAATTTAGAAATGGAGAATTTTTTAAAATGGAAAGATAAAGGAAATAGAAAAAAATTTGAAAAATAATAAAGTAAGAGAAATCACTACTTGATTTCCAGTCACGTAGCCACAGTATTCAAGACTGTGCTATTGTCAGAGAGATAGTCATATAGATGGATAGCACAGAAATAGCTCTACACAAGTACACCAACTGATTTTTGACAAAGATGTAAAAATAATTCAATAGAGGTAGAATTGTTTTTTTTAACGTGCTGGAGCAGTTGGATATCCACAGGCAAAAAATGAATTGTGATTTAAACCTTATACTTTATACAAAAATTAACACAAAATTACTTATAGACTAAAATGTAAGATGTAAAACTACAAAGTCTTTCTAATCTATGGGAGAAACTGGGGACCTAGGACTAAGAAATGAGTTCTCAGATATGCCACCAAAAGCATGATCCATAAAATAAAAAACTGAAAAATTGGGCCCCATCAAAATTTAAAACTTTTGTTTGTGAAAGACCCTGTTAAGGGAATTAAAATAAAACTGGGAGAAAATATTTGCAAACTACAAATCCAGCAAATGACCTGTATCTGAAATACATAAAAAACTCTCAAAACTCTATGTTTAAAAGAAAGAAAAAAAACCTAACAATCCAGTTAGAATACGGATGAAAGAATAGTCATTTCAACAGACAGGATATACAAATAGCAAACAAGCGCATGGAAAGTTGATCAACACTGACTTCATGACTGTTAGGGAAATGCATATTTAAACCACAAGATATCACTACAAACTTATTGGGATGCTTAAAATTTAAAAACGGTAATGATGTCAAATGCTGACAAAGATGTGTGGGAACAGGATCTCTCATACATTGTTGGCAGGAATATAAAATGGTACAGTCACTCTAAAAAGTATTTTGGCAATATCTTAAAAACTAAACATGTAATTACCATACAACCCAGCAATTATACCCCTGGACATCCCAGATAAATGAAAGCTCATGTCCACACAGAAACTTGCACACAGTTGTTCATAGAAGCTTTCTTTGTAATATCCCAAAAGTCCCAACTAAAATATATTTTTAGGTGAATGGTTAAACTGTGATACATCCATATCATGCAATACTGGTGAGCAGTAAAAAGTAACTTAGATGTCTCTCAAAGGCGTTTTGCTGAATGACAAAAGAGAATCTCAAAAGTTCACATACTGTATGATCTCATTTATATAATAGTCTCAAAATAATAAAATTGTAGAGATGGACAACATACTGATGGTTAGCAGGTATTAGGGAAAGAAGAATTCAGGGAAGTAGATATGACAATAAAGGAGTAGAGGAAGGAGATCATTTGTAGTGAAGGAATAGTTCTGCCTCTTGATTATGGTGGTGTTTAAATACATATGTGTACATGTGATAAAATGGCATAGCACTGCACACACACATTATACTAATATCAATTTCCTGGTTTTGATATTGGATTATAGGCAGACAAGATGTGACCATTGGGAGGATTGGATAAAGGGCACTGAGGAACTAATATATTTGCAACTTCCTGTGAATCCATAATTATTTCAAAATAAAAAGCTTCTTAAAAACTCTGGTGTATTCTAGAGTAGTGGTTCTCAGACTTTTGGTCTTTACACTCCTACAAATAATTGAGGATCCCAATAAACTAGGCTACATAAAAATATTTATTTGTTTAAAAACAACCCACTGTGTATTAACATAAATAACAGTGTTTGTGAAAAAACTGCCAGACTGTCTTCTAAAATTTTATCGAGAATAGCATTATTTTAAATGTACATGAATCAATACATAATAGCTTTCAGCTGTTTTATATATATTGAATTATAGCGTGTATAGTCAAATATAGCTAGTAAGAGCACAGTAGGAATACTGAGAACAGACTGGATTAATCTCTGAAAAAGCATATATTTATACACTAAATCTCTACGACTTTGAAATTTTAGGAAAGAGAAGAATACACAACTACGAATTCTGTTAGTCATCAGAGCAATAACATACATTTTGTAGCCTCTGGAAAATTCATGATTATGAGGATGAAAAAGTAAAATAACATCTTAGTGTAAACACACTTGTGATCTCAGTGAATTTCTAAAAGAGTCGTAGAGACCCCAGGGTTTTGTGGACCACAGTCTGAGAGTTACTGTTCTTGTTTTGAGATGGAGTCTTGTTCTATCACTCAGACTAGAGTGCAGTGACTCAGTCTCGGCTTACTGCAGCCTTCATCTCCTGGGTTCAGTCGATCTACCCAAGTAGCTGGGACTACAGACACCCACCACCATACCCTGCTAATTTTTGTATTTTTAGTAGAGATGGAGTTTCACCATGTGGGCCAGGCTGGTCTCAAACTCCTGACCTCAAGTTATCCACTCACCTTGCCTCCCAAAATGCTGGGATTACAGGTGTGAGCTACCATGCCTGGCCCGAGACTTACCGTTCTGATGTTCATTGTGAGCATTAGAAATTGGTGTGCTTTTTATTTATTGGCTTTCCCATTCTAAATTCCCAAGTGTTTTTATATCAGGTTAATAAAAGAACCTTCCAGTAGTTTAGTGAGGTTGTTTGTATGAAGGAAGAAAAAACTAGTTGCTTGGGGAAGTATTTGAAAATATACGTGCTAACTTTAGAAGAAAATTGGGCAAGATTAGTTTTGATTTGGAGCTCAAAGCAAAACAACACTTTCTAAAGACTTGTTCTTTCAGGGTTCCTTTTCACTCTTATATTTCTAGTTCAATTGTATACTAAAAAAGAATTAAACAATAATATGTTGGGCGTTTAGGGCTGTGATTGCCTGTTGTGGATGTGCATTAGAACCTGAAAATGCATTGTAAGAAGACAGAGCAGAGTTGTGGAGACAAATCTCAATATATGTTGGCTGCTTGTTTAATAAGCTTGATTGTTGTTGTTATATTAGGGAAAATTTATATATTTTTTAAAATGTATTTTTAGGATGGAAGATCAACCTGTTTTTTCCTACTTGGAAAAGATTCTTTCTAAAAATATGGAACTGATGGAAAAGAAACTTATGGATTACATTGATCAGCGAATATATAAACTCCAGGAACACATTGATGATAAGATTGCTTTGTTAATGGACTTGCTGCAAAATCCCAACTCTCCGCCCACTGGGATGCCTCTAAGACATTATGACTCTGGAGAAAGACTTTCAAATGGAGAAAGATAAGCACTCAACATAAAACAGTGTACTGCAGATATTTATTACATATTTATTACAATGCCAAAACCCAAAAATATTTAAGAAAAGCAAGTATTTAATGTCCTTTTAGAGATCATTGTCTTATATAAAGTGACCTCAGTTTTCATTTTTATTACACTTGTTATTTTAAATCCAGTATTGTACACTGAGTTAATATGATACAAATTACTTTTGCTCATGATATTTTTCAGTCTTACAGAAATTTATGTATACTTGTGTTTAAAATGCTTGAGGATTTCTAATATAGTTCATTAGTTTGTATTGTATGTGTGTTTAAGTATAAATTTTATTTACGCAAATATTTTATAGTCTTAGAAATATGAAAAATGATCCTTAGAGTATTTGATTTTTTTTTCTTTTTCTAATTATCTTGGGAAATTGGATACTTCAGACTAGGAGCCTTTAATTCAGATTATTAATTTACATTTTGTATTGTTTATCTGAGATAATAAATAAGGTATGATATTTGGGATGTGTAAAATTAGCTCACTCTGGGCCTGTTAATACTATTTGTTTCATTACAGAGTTGCTCTGGGTAGGAGAGTAAACATCAGAGCCAGCCTAGTCCTTGTTAGGATTAGTACTTTGGATTTAATGTTTCCTGTAAAACAGGTGCAGTCATCTTGTTTGACCTCAGTAACCCCAGACAGTATAAGAAAACCTCTTCTTTTGAGCTGATACAGGTTTTCTCCCCAGAATTCTTTTCTGGCATGTTTATTGTGTGAAATACTGAGGCTCCGCATGGAAGGATGAATACATATGAGTCAAGAGATTGCAATTCTCTCTGGTAGACTTAGTTTTCAGATTTTATAACTATTGTATATGTGTTGAAAGGTGATATATTCGCATATAAAAATAAATATACCTGTTCTGGAAACTACTTGTCTTTAGTTAGTAGAACTGTTTTATTTTCAACTAATCTTTGCTTCAAATGTTTTATCTTTTAGAAAAAGGATATCTCATACTCCTTTAATGTTTTGGCATATTTGTTCTTTAAAAGTGTTAACTGATGTAATGCCTGCATGACATAGTTGAATTTCTACCCTGCCCTAACTCTGCGTATCTTTAAGAAACAGAATGCCTGTGAAAAAAGTTCCCTTTGTAACCAGACCAGTGGAGACTGATAACAAGTAGGATACCTGACCAGATGACTTGAAAAAGACCTCAGCCTTATTATAATCTTATTTCTGTGCTAAATGACACTCCCACTAGTGCCATGACAGTTGACAGTCGCCATGACAATGACCAGAAGAAGCCATGAAAAGACAAAAAGAAAGGCAGCACTCTCGTTTTAGGAAGCTTGCTGCCCATTTCTGAAAAATACATGAATATTCCTCCCTTTGCTTTAATATGCAACAGCTTTATTAGATAAATTATATTTTAACACCCTCAATCCTCATTAGTTGAGAAGCTGATTTGCGAGCCATGCTCCAGCTTCTCAATTCTGTGGCCATTGAATAAAACCTGCACTGTTTGTCACTCACTTTTGGTTTCAGGCATTGGCTTTGTGACACCCCGCAGGGAAAGACCCCATCTTTTGGAGGACCAGCTTTGTTGGTAACAAAAGGAAGCCTGATTTGTGTGCTGTTTGTTCATTTTTATCATACTACAAAGGTGACGTAGTATATAGAACAAACTGTGACCACAGTAATGTCAGGATTTGCATATCCCTTTTGTTATTTCCTGAAGAGCCATTATTTATGGGACAGTTCCTATAGATATAAGATAGTATCTCCTTTCTCATTGAGAAGTCTGTCTCACTTAAGTTTGAGTCTGTTTGTTGATAGTCCTGCATCTTCTCGTAGTTGTGGTCTGTTCATTGATTCACAGAATGCCTCACTATGATGTAGTAGCAATTATCGCATTCTAAGCAAGGATGATGAATGAAGATAGGGGCAGATAGCTGAAAGGTCATTTCTGAGTTCCTTCTGCATATATTTTATGATAAAGTAATTGGGAAGCAAGAAAAAGTAATATTTGGCAATTTGAAATTTGATAAATTTGCGATTTCTCTACAGATTTTATTTATTTGTTATTTGGAACAATGTCAGCATAACATAGAGGAACTGTTATTTGAATTAGCTTAGTGTTTATATTAAAAATCAAAGACAAAATATTCCTAAAACTGTTTTTTTTTTTTTTTTTTTTTTTTTTGAGACAGTTTCACTCTGTCATCTAGGCTGAAGTGCAATGGCATGATCTCGGCTCACTTCAATGTCTGCCTCTTGGGTTCAAGCAGTTCTCCTACCTCAGCCTCCCGAGTAGCATACCACCACACGTGGCTAATTTTTGTATTTTTAGTAGAGATGAGGTCTCATTGTGTTGGCCATGCTGGTCTTGAATTCCTGACCTCAATTAAGCCACCTACCTCAGCCTCCCAAACTGTTGGGATTACAGGTATGAGCCACTGCACCTGGTCTCTAAAAGTATTTCTATTTCAAATGGCTGATTTAGTTTGGCTTCCCAGTGTGAGGCAGAAAACTTGTGAAATTAAAGTATTATAGTCTGGCTCAGCATGGTGGCTCACACTTACAATCTTAAAAACATTTTGCGAGGCTGAGGCAGAAGGATCACTTGAGGCAGGGAGTTTGAGTCCAGCCTGGGTATACATAGTGAGGCCCTGACTCTACAAAAAAAAAAGTGTTACAGTTAAGGAGCCATGCAGGGTCATTTATTAAGGGTCAGCATTTTTCATAGTTGTGAAAACATACTTGATTAACAGGGAAATTAGTTTCCTTCTTTGAAATAGAAAAGCAGTATTTGCTAGGATGTTTCCATATTGACACAAATGTTCAATTGTTTTCAAACTTAGAGATGTATTATGCAAGTCTTTGTAGTGCATGTGTTTATAGAAGTTAATAAATTCAAGTTTTTGATTTAAGGCTTTTGAAAAGCCATTTTAGGTTCACAGGAAAATTGAGAGAAGCTACAGAGATTTCTCATATGTTCCCTATCCTCACATGTGTATAACCTCCTAAACTATCAACATTCTCACTAGAGTGGTACATCTATTACAACTGACGAGCCTAGATTGACGTCATTATCACCCAAAGTCTATAGTTCACATAGAATTCATTCTTAGTGTTGTACAATCTATGAGTTTGGACAGATGTATAATGACATGTATCCACCGTTATTGTATCAAACAGATTAGTTTCACTGCCCTAAAAATCCTCTATGCTCCACTTACTCATTCCTCCTCACTCCCCAACCTCTGGCAGCCACAGCTCTCTTTATCACCTCCATGGTTTTCCTGTTTCCTGAATTCCATATAGTTGGACTTGCCCAGGAATTGCAGTCCTTGTGGTCTAGACCCCCTTTCAAGTTTATTTAGGACCCAGAGCACTTCAGCCTGCAGTGTCCAGGCTTGCCATAACTCAGGTTCCAACCACTGGGAGGGGTGATTCCCCTCTGGCTGTAACTGGTCTAAATGCTCCTTCCATGGGCGCTGGCTGACTTCTGCCTGGTGTTGCTTTCTGCTGTGACAGAGAAGCACTGAGTTTCAATGCAAAGTCACACAATCACTGCGCTCTCCCTCTCATCAAGTGCACAGATTTTTTTTTCTCCATGTCATTTAGCCGCTGCCAGGGGATGGGGGAGGTGAGTGATGTTGGCAATTTACGACTGTCTTTCCCATCCTCTTCAGTGCCTCTTGCAGTGATATGAAGTTAAAAACATTTACTGTGATCACTCATCTTTTTGCTTGTTTGTTTGTTTTTCGAGACAGAGTTTCACTCTTGTTGTCCAGGCTGGATTCCAATGGTGCAATCTTGGCTCACCACAACCTCTGCCTCTCAAGTTCAAGCAGTTCTCTTGCCTCAGCCTCCCAAGTAGCTGGGATTACAGGCGTGTGCCACCACAACCTGCTAATTTTGTATTTTTAATAGAGATAGGATTTCTCCATGTTGGTCAGGCTGCTCGTGAACTCCCGACCTCAGGTGATCTGCCCACTTCAGCCTCCCAAAGTGCTGGGATTACAGGCCCTAGCCACCATGCCCGGCGGTTTTTGTTTTTTATTAAGATGCTTTTTTGGTGTAGATAGTTGTTCAATTTGATGTTCCTGTGGGGAGGATGTTTGTTTTACCTTCAGCCTTCGTCAGTCAGGAGACAATTAAAAGGGCCGAAGGCATGCCCCTCCTTATAAGCTCCATCTTGGCCAGGGACTGGGCAGCTTTAAGGACTGGCAGCCATCTTTCTCTGTTTCCTTCTCCTGGATCAGTGTCCTTTAAAAACTAAAATCCACACAGTTCTTTGTATGTCTTTAGCATAAGATTCATGGTAAAAAATGGAGACTTTTGTTATTTGTTACATTTATTAATATGGTATAATGTGCATGCTTGCACATACATCTTTGGACACTTACAGTTGTTTCCTAAAGCTAAGTGTTTAGAAGTAAGATTACCTGGTGAAATTCCATGTGCTTTTTATATTTTATATGTATTACAGTATCACCAGAATGAAACTGATACTAACTTAATCTCCAACTAATAATATTTAAGAGTTATGTTTTTTACACACTGGGGCCAGCAGAGCACTCAAAAAGTTCTAAAATTAGCAAGCACCTTTTAAAGGGCAGTATTTTGACAAAAAATATGTTTTACCTTCAGCCTCCATCAACATCAACTCTGCCAATCAAGAGACAATTAAAAGGGCCAAAGGCATGAGCCTCCTTACAAACTCCATCATGTCAGGGGCTGGCAGCCTTAAGGACTGGCAGCTTTTGTAGGCTCTGTGTTTCATCAGCTGTCTGGACACCTCCAAGGAAACGTCAGTTCCAGCCACACAAGGGGTAGATTTGTGTAAGAATAGAGCAGCTCCATGACTAGTTTCATAGCAGTCCCCACTGTGAGAATTCCCTCTCCTCAGCTCCTCAGCTCCTTCCTAGAAGGGTTGCCCCCAGTGGCAGCTCTTTGTGGGGATCTCCAGCAGCTGGCACCCAGCAGGCAATGAGAAAATTGCTGTGGAAATGACAGGGAGCTGGACTTTGCACTGTTCCTGCAAATCATGCACTGGCATTTGAGGCCTTTGACATTTGAGGCCTCAGTGACATCTAAGGCCTTTGGGCCTCTGGCCTGGGAAGGGAGGCCTGTGGGAGACCAGAGGATCAGTAGGGCAAGGTGGAGATGTGGCACCTGGGTAATCTCTGGGTCCAGCTGGGTCACTGTCCTGCCGAATGCCTATCAACTCCAAACTCATCAGGCTCAAGAGGCCAAAAAAGAGACTCAGAGCCAGAAACTGAGACATGGGATTTTATTATGGACTACATGCAGGGGACAGAGTTCAGTGTGGGCTGGACAGAATAATTGCATAGCCCAGTGGAGATGGGCTGGGAAGGAAAGTCGCAACTGCTGGCAAAGAGCATGCAGTTTATGTGGCAATTTCACTTAGCACCCTCCCCCTAGCAGTCTCCACCTGGCAGCCTTCACTTAACCCAAAATGGCCTTGGCCTCCTGTTTGGCCTACATTCCATAGGATGGGATCGGGGCTCAGATGTTCCTCACAGACAAGAAATGAATCTCAGGGCTAACCACTCCTGGATTCACTACCTCTGAACACACATTCAGGTGCATCTGCCACACAGGGTTATCTCAGGGTATGCTTAAGTTATTGATATCAGGTGCGTTTACCTTATAGTCACTCAGATGCTCTGCCAGATGACTGAGGGGTGAGGAGAGGGGGCAGAGCATGGGGAGGAAAAGGGAGTGCAGATCCTTGTTCCCCTGCAGAGATTTCTAACAGGTTATATCTGGAGAGGCTGGAGCAGTTAGCTTGGTCCCTTGGGCACTGTGTTTTGCAGCCAAGAGCAGGAAATCCTGATGTCCGTGATGAGACTAGGAAGGGCAAATGTGTGTGTATCAGGGAAGGTGGGGCTGCCCTCTTTTCATTTTCATTTATTTAGCAAATATTATGTAATGTTCTGGGTCCTGAGCAATACAGAATTGAACATGAGAGACATAAGTCTTGTATTCTAAATGGAGAGTTAAAAAACAAAAATAAATGAAGAATTCAAATAGTGAGAGGAGCTCTGACTACAATAAAATGGGTGACCTGTTCTATTAATAGACAGTGGCTGCCTTGGAGAAGGGAGGAAATAAGAGGGTGGGAGATAGGGAGTGAGTCTTGAGAGATGCAATCTGAGCAAAGAAAGATAAAAGGGAGGCATTCATGTGTGATCTGAGCTCTGGGGTTGCATTTTAGGCAAAAGAGAGGGCAAGTGCAAAGGCCCTTAGGCAGGGAGTGGCTGAGCACACCTACAATATTAGGGAAGAAAGAAGAGCCTGGTTGGATGTGAGTGGGAAGAGTGAGCTGGGAAGGGAAGATGGGGAAGGACCTGTAGGACCAATGAGGCATCTAGGTTTCACTCTAAGTTCAGGTGGAACATTTCGAGTGGACAATGCCAGGATTGGCTACTTTTTGAAGAACCTTTGTGCAGCTCTGTGGAGGTTTGACATTGGTGTAGGTTGTATCTCCTGCGGGGGAAAC